ACACACACACACACACACACACACACACACACACACACACACACACAATAAAACCATTGTAAAATCAATACATTCATAGCTCTGCTTAGTATCTGGTATGTAAGATTGATATTATTTGTCTAAAAAACAAATAGGCCACCCAATTTTAGAATATGATGCGTTCCCTCGGCCATCAAAATTTGGACACGTCTACGCATGAAGTAATATGGAATTATTGAAATTATTCAAAAAAACTATTCCCACCGCGACAGAGTGTGCGGCCCAAATTATTTCTATTTACCGTCATGCATCGGGCGGCTCGTCTGGAACGTTGACATTTGATCATGAGACCCTGGTAGTTCCAGAGACAAAATGGGACGTCCTAAATAGTCTCCAGTCCCCCCCACTCTACTGCGACTGGACTGCTCATCAAGAGAAATCCAACGCACCACATGTTCTCTCTCACTCACTCATTCACTCGTTCTCATTCTTTCTCAACTCTCTCTCACTCGCTCTCATTATCTCTCAACTCTCTCTCTCTAGCCCACACGCAGTATAGACTAAATGTAATAACACAAAATAATTAATTTTAGGTTTTTGAGTAGTTTTACAGTAAAAGCACTTGTTACAAAAATTATAGAGAAAACTATATTTTAGGGTTTGATGAATTGCATTTGGTCTAAATATCATCTTAAAACAGTTTAATATTCATTTAAATTTTAAATTAGTGTATTTTTTTTGAATGATAATAAAATATAAGACCAATTTTTTAAACCCTTAAAAATATTATTAATTATCTATAGTTTCTGTAATAATATGTGATTTTACTCTATACAATTATACAAAAATGCGTTCAGTTATATGTGGCGCGTGGGCTGAGAGAGAAAACAAATATGCACCGACATCCTATTACCCGCATGTGTTGTTTCCGTCTTACATTAGCATACTAAAATTTACTTTCAGTAGTTTCAATTTTGTATTGTTAACTATTTTAATAAATCTATTATCAAATTTATAAGTAAGAACATTATTTGTGCTCTTTCATTAGTTTTTTACGATATTTTTATCTGCAAGCGAATTATAAATATGTCAATTATCAATATTAAATTTATGCTCGTAACAACAGTCATAATTCGCTTAAGCTTAAAATAATGTAAAAAAAAAATATGCGAAGAAGACTACGTCAAATTAATAATTGAAATCTATTTTGATAATAATATGTATTTATTAACATTTAACAAGTATAATTAAACAATTTTCACGTTGCTATTTCATAAAAAAATTAGACTACATTACTCTCAAGTCGCATTTGCACTAACGTTAAACATAGAGTAATATTAGTTATTATTCTATTATTTAAAAACATATTATTATCAAAAATACATTTATAATTTATAGTATTATGATATTATATACAATTATTATTTTATTTTTTTAAATTTATT